TGCTCAATAGCCACACGTGGACAGTACATTGAAAGAACATCTGCATCCCTGCAGAATGGTCTACTGGAATTGCTACATGAGCTCCTTCTCTCCAAAACAAGCAAGCAAACAAACACCACCTGGGTAGCATGTTAATACACTGGGTCTCAGTTACAGGCAAGACTCGGGCGCCAAGTCACAGTCCTGTTTGGTATCATTATAACCATTGTCATTCTCTCACTTCAAATGTTTTCATGTATACCTTTGACCATCTTGCCATTGAGATACTTTCCCTGCAATTAGCATCCGCTGCCTCTAGGTGGCAGAAAATACCACTTTCCTGAGAACCCTGCTTCTCTGAAACCAAGCTAGAAATGCTCTGCTGAAGCCCCTCACATTTATGAAAGAGGAATCTTCGTCACCTACTTATAAGCAATTTATAAGCATATAACTGGAATGAAGCCATCAATGCAAGCAGCCAGGTGTAAAATAATAAAGCCGTAGAGGAGACAATCTTACAAATTGAAATATAAAAGAGACACCCAAATAACACGGGCATAATTAGTGACTTTCTCATCAGCGTTTGTATTTATTGCCAGATTCCATTTGCAGCTGCCTCCCTTACCCCCACCCCCGACCCTGAATTATATTTGGAAGTGAAGCCGTCCCAGTGACGGGCGCACGATTCTTTGATGCAGTGGGGCTTTAGCAGGAGGAAAAATGATGATCGTTTTCTTCTCTGAGAAATAGGAAATCATAACAGAACACCCCTTCCAAGGCTTTGCGATGCCAAAATGCAAGGATGTGTGCCAAGCAGGCAGACTTCCTGGCACAAGAATTAATGGGGGAGGGGGAGTGTATCCAGCCTGTCCATCAGGTCACAGGCTTATGGTGCCTCCTTGTGGGGATGGCCTTCTAATAAAGAGGGCCCTGGGAACTTCCCCGCTTCTCTGCCACTGACCGAGAGCCCTGCTGTGGTTGTCCTGACCCGGGGTCCACAGGACGCCACACCCACGGGCCTGTGGTCTTCCTGCATTCTGCATCAGTGCATGTGGCTGCCGTGTGAATCTGAAGAGGGACTTATGGACAAGCAGAGGACTCATGGACTTGGGTTGGACTGGCCAGGGATGCTCTCTTGATATAGCATTTCTTTTTGATATAAAGCTCTTTCTTACATATATATGAGTGTCCCTGGATTTGTTTCTCTAGTCAGCCCGGCCGAACACACCCACCCAGGGACTCTGGGAGAGAGAGTCCTGGAGGCCTGTTCCCATCACGATGACAGCTGAACCATCTCTCTGGAACAGGTGCACTGTTCCAGGAAGGGGTCAGTAGGCGTCTGAGCCACCTGAAAGGCACACAGGAACTGTCACGGGTGCTCCATAAACGAATGGGAGGGAGTGCATTTTGTCATTGTGACTGCGGTGGGTGTTCGTATTTCAGATCATTGACTTTTATTCCATAGTCTAGATGACAAGCCAAGCCCCTCCCCCAACAGCTTGTCACCGCCGCCCCC